GGTCGAAGCAAGGCTCTCGAGCGGTATGGCTTCCTTAAATCAGGGACCTGGCGCTGCGGTGCCTCCGTAGGAGCTGTCCGGTCACTTTATAGCGCTTCACCACTCCAGGCATCTCGGAAGCCCACTTTTGCCACGAGGAATTGGAATTGTCCAAGAGGCTAAATCAAATACCCTAAAATCTAATCAGACTGAAATAGTACTGAAACAGATAGCCAGTTAGCAGAAGTCTTTGCAAGAGGGCAAAGGGACCCTAGGCTTTCTGGTTTTCCTAACGCACATGAATGGGAAGGTGCCTGGCAGCTGCTGCTCTGATATGCTTAAAAATGGACTAGAGGACTTTAATTGCTACCTTTCTTTAAAAATTTCTGTAATGATAAACATCAGAGTCTTGTTTTTCGCTTATTTTTGAAGGAGCTGAAGTTGTGTTTTCTGTGGACTGCACCAAGCTGAAGGACTATTTTTTACCAGAAAAAAGAGAATTTGATTGCATTTATTTCAACTTCCCTCACAGTGGGAGAAAGGCTGGGGTAGTGAAGAACAGAGAGCTTCTTGCCCACTTTTTCGATAGGTGAGTAAACCAGAAGTAGTTCTATGATAATTGACTGCTGTGATACAGATTTCTAGCCATGTTACAGGTGTTTTTCTGGCACTATAAAATTTCTGGCTGTGTTAGCAGGATTTTCTTTGTTGCCTGGCTTTCCTTCCAGCTCTGCAGAAGTGTTGACAGAGGAGGGAGAGGTCCATGTGGCTCTTTGCAATGGACAGGGTGGGACACCTGCTGATCAACCAAGGAGAGAATGGCACAACAGTTGGCAAATAGTGGCTGTGGCAGCAGGAGCTGGATTTATCTTGAGTAACGTTCATCCTTTTAAAGCAGAGACTATCCATGGATATAAGTGTACAGGCTACAGGTAACCATCATGTGGCAATACTGAAAAGTTTATATTTGTGCTTTTATAATGCCTAGCACTAGTATGTTCTTTTAGTATCTTGTTTGTTGGAAAGAGGAACTCGCTTTAATTTTCCTTAAAATAGCTACAGTTCTTTTTTGCCTCTAAGCAGAATAGCCAAGATAAAAATGCAAGCTTCTTGCCAAAGTACCTTCTAAAAAAATAAGATTGTCTTAGGATTGTCAAAATGGTCCATTTCAGAACAAATGTCAATCTCGGCCTAAAGACAGCAGGAGGACTGTGGTATGTGTATCTGCTTAGCAGACAATCACAGAATCACAGCATGGTTGATGTTGGCAGGGACCTCCAGCAGTCATCTAGTCCTACCCCACAGCTCAAAGCAGAGCCAGCTAGAGCAGGTCACTCAGAGCCACATTCAGTCTCGAGGGATGGAGACTGTACAATCTTTCTGTGCAACTTGTTCCAATGTTGGACCACCTGCCCAGTAAAAATACGGTAGTGTTGCATTTTTGTCACCTTGTAACAAGACCTGGGATTCAACAAGAGGTGTGTTAGTGTTACACAGAGTTATCTGTGTAATGCTTTACTTGTGACACATTAAATGTAGGAAACGATCAATGACTTTGCTCTGCGTTGTGTATTGTCAGGAGTCAAGATAAATCTTTCTGTGTAGAGGGTGCTTTAAACCACATTTTCACACGAAGCATGCCACTTCTGTATTTCAAACCTATGATCTGCAAGGTAGAACTGGAAAGCCAAAAAGTTTCTTTTCAAGTACCACAAGTACTTGTGGATAAAATTAATAGGTAAGTTTTGTAATTATTTTCTGTTTGGCAATAACACACACTCCTGCTCTCAGTGGAAATGACCAGCATAGGTGCCAGATAAAATGGAATTGCTTTATTTTCGCTCCTTTCCCCTCTACAGAATTTCCTGTTCCATTTCTTCTTCAAGTCTGTTTCATGTTGGCTTGTGGTTATGGCCTACTTACAAACAAGTCTACAGAACAAAAAGAAACTTTATAGTTGAGACCAAGCTGCTGTATACTTGAACACACAAGTAAAGATGAAAACTTTAATCTGTTTTACTGTACTGTGGAAGAAATTCAGGAGCTGACTTGTGCCTGCTAATACCACAATACTAAGGCTAGCTAAGATGAAAAATGCTAACCTCTTAGGTGAACTGCTGCATACTTGGGAGACTATCCAGGGCTAGCATAATTTGATTTATTTCTCTAGTTTGTAATGCCTGTGCTGAATAGAAATGGTGATGCCTGTGCTGACTGTTAAGTCCCATTCCTTTTTTACCAGCAAAAGTACAGTTAATTCTTGATTGCAACCTGGAGACAAACACCACTGTCCTGAAAACGTGTTAGCCATTGCAACACCTTTGATGAAAGACTTGGCTTGTTCAGGTAGTTACTAGGAACCGGCTTAATATCTGAGATTGTTTTGGGTAAATTGCTGCACTCAAATTATGATCACAGGAAGGCATTTCAAGGAAATCTGTTTAGTGGTGTCTGTAATTTGCACTTTTATTTTTCACAGGGGTTTCCTAGAACTAAATTCAAATCATCCAGTACGGACAGTAAAGGAGAAGCTCACTGCAGAGCTCAGCCAAGCCTTTCCGTTACAAAACATTGATGACTGCCTTTCTCTGCTCCACCAAGGTCACCTCAATGGTGTCTGTCACTCAAATATCTTTTGGATCATTCTGAGCCCAGAGGAGACTCCAAGCACTGAAGAAATGTCTAATGGACTGGCAAATGCAGTTTTATTTTCCCATGTTGATTTTTGCAGGGACACGGATAAGGATGGCTGGGTGAATGTACAAGAGGGATGCCACATTTCAAAACAGTATTATCTTAGACCTTCCCTTCTACCTTATGCTCAGGCAATAATACAAAGAGGAGCCTTTCTCCCGGGGACACTTCATGTTCTTTCTGGCCTAGTTTTCAGGAAGTGTCTTATCACTCCTTACTCCATGCCTGTTTTTCATGAGATGGTTTTTGTATGTGCAGTTAACAGGGGTACAGAGAACAGCTGTATCCAGATGTTGGTGAATAACATTAAAACCAGCATACATTCTCTTCACCAGACTGTTTCCGGCTTTAAACTGAATATCAATCTGCAGGAAGCAATGAGCTTTGAAAAAAATGAGCTGCATGACTTTGCTGCTTTTGAATCTCAGGTTAGTAAAATTCAGTACTTCATCTGTGTGGAGATAGATAATTCAGGCTCCTGTGAGAAGGGCTCCTGTGAGAAGGGCTCCTGTGTGGGAATTATAAGGACAGCTCATTATGAACTAGTAAGCAGTGAGTTGGTTGCTGTCTTTGCTTCATTGAACCTTGACCTCCTAGCCATGCTGATCTGTGGAATATCTGACTGGCGAATGCTCTGGACATCAGACACACGCTTCCTCCGTCAATTTCCTAAAGGAGAGTTAAGGCTTTTCAAGAGTTTTTCTCTCTATCCACCTTCCTATGTTCATGATATCAGCTTTTGGGTTCCTGATGGGGAACAATTTGATGAAGTCGCTTTTCACACCATTGCTAGGCGGGTGTCAGGTGAAATGGTCGTATCCATCCAGTTAATCGACAGTTTCCAGCAGTCAGAGACCGGACGGAAGAGCCTCTGCTACAGGCTGACCTTTCAGTCCTGTGACAAGGCACTGAGCCGCCAGGCGGTGGCAGAGATGCAGCTGCTCTTTCGGAAGGAAATAAACCAACGCTTGCGTGTAACTCTTCGGTAGAGCGTTCTATGTTGTTTTCAGGTGCTCGAGCAGCACCTGCGCTTGTTGCTGATCTGGAAAATGTGGCCTACATCTTGTTGGACC